TGTATTGTATCTGACTTGTATCTGTACCTGTAGTGTATTCTGTATTGTAGTTAGATTGTAGGTACCTGTATTGTATTTCCATTGTATTGTACTGTATAACGTTCTATCCCTGATTAACAAATCCTAGCCCTCTCCTTTCCTAGCGAGATCTGCTCCAGACCTTCCCGTGGTTCTTGCTGAGCATCAACTATCGAGGACAGAAAATTCAAATTCGAAACCAGCAAACTTTCACAAAAATCATGAAAATCGCTCGTTGGTGGCCAACGTGGAGCAAAAGAGACTTTTGTAACTCAACTGACCTTGTTAACTTTGTATTCTTAAGGAAACAAAAATATATTACGTTTAATTTATTATTTATAAGGACAAATAGTCATTTGCCACACCGATGCTCATTTTTAGATTAAATGCTCACAAAACGCGTAGATGTTTAATTTGTGTCCGGGGAGGTACAATGTTTGCAAGTAGGTACTTCGTACTTCGAATATGAGTATCTACTCAGTTTTATTCATACCACCCAATGTCTAGCTTCAATGTTTGACTATTATGTTGATTATGAGCACAACGCTGATCAACTTCCGTATCCGAATTACCCATGAAATAAATCATTGCGATTTGCACCTGAGGTAGTTCGTCGCACATTTGATTGACTTCGTGGACGTATGTCAGTTTGTCGTCTTCTCGGCATAAAACGACACAGAATTATTTTTACAGTCAATCAAATCTGTAAATTTTGTCTTGAGAATTTTAAAATATTGAAAATTTCAAATTAAATCCTCGAATAACGGTAATGTCGTGCCCAAATAGTTTTGACCGCGGCCGAGCTTTTGGACACTAACAAAATTATTTATTTGGGTGTAGGCCCATTTCCTTGGAAATGGAAGAGCTAAACTGCATGTAGGGGAAGAGGTAATAATTAAACATATATAACATTTTTATACGTATATTAAAAGAAAGCATAATAAGCATGTCAAAAGAATAATCGAGTAAATGTGTAAATAATCAACAGAAAAATAAAACATAAAATAAATTCACACACATAACACGAAAAAACAAAACAACATGCAAAACATTCTTCTAAAGCGCTACGCAATTATATTCCACTAATAAAACTCTTAAAATCTATGAACATAACCCACATTTTTAATTAATAAACTTAATCCTAGAAAAATCAGCATGCAAAAGACTAAAAATTAATTCGGTAAATCCATAATTAAATGCGATACCTTCTAAACAACATTAATATTACGAGCATGATAAATAACCAAAAAAAATAAACTACTAACTACTAAATGGTATCATTACTTAATTATTTAAATAAATTGCGATTGGGCATTTATATATATATATATTAATTAAATCATGAGAACAACTAAAATAACGGGTAAAAATCATGCACTTAAATCTACGACAACTTATGAATATAAACATGTAAAAAGAGAGATAAATAAGTTTTCACATACATCGATTAGCTAAATATGCCGAGCACAACAATCGTTCACGAGAAAAATTGATGGTTACAGGACAGGTAGGTACATGTGAAAATAAACAGTCATAATTTATACATGCAGTTAAACATTGGGACGTTAGTATCATAAATGCGCTAAAACACAATGAGACGATTAAAATAAAGTATAATGTGAGAAAGATAGCAATATAATATATACTATAGCAAAATAATCAGAGAACGGAGTCATATTTAAACGGCAAAAATTCAATATAAAATAATCGACAGCAAGAAATTTAGATTAATAGGTTTCAATTCGGGAACTTCCCAAAAACGCACATAAAATATTCATGTCGCAAGCAAAGAATTAAATCGGCAAATTTAAAGAGATATTGGAATAATTATTATAAAAGCAAATGGTAAAAATCAGAAAAATCCTCTCCAAAACGCATATAAAATATTTATGTCGCAAGCAAAAGAGTTAAATCGGCAATTTACAGAAATTTGGAATAATTATCATAAAAGCAAACGGTAATTTATCGAAAAATCCTCCCCAATAATCAAGAACCGACGCAAGGCTAAACGTGCCACCTACAAACGGGAACATATGGAAGCACTAAAGATTACTTTCGGTGCCGGTGCTAACTGTTCACACCCAACGTAACGGAGAAAACGCATAAATTAAACGCTACACAAGTACGATTCGAACTCGAGAACACATGACGAAAAAACGGAAAGCAAGATAAACTAAGAATGACTAAAAGGTAGACTTACACAGCTGCAGCATTGAGAATTTTTCTATCTTCCTCTCGGGCTCAGCAAATTCTTCTAAGTTCGGATTTCTTCAAAATTCAGCAAAAATTAATAAAAATCTCGACACCGGTTTGGGCAGAGCCTTCGGCGGCAACTGGAAACTTCTACTTTAACTGAATCCCTTTCCTGCTGGAAAGTCACCCTTATATAGCTTCGTTTTGGACAGAAATAGAACCGTGCTTTTGTGTGGTACTATATGCCCTTATATGGTCATGAAAATGTGAAGATGCGTCGACCAATCGGTAAGTCCGCTTCCTTATATGGTAAAAATATGGGAAGCTGATGAAATCTCAGTTCCGGGGATGAAGTGGGGATCATTCTAGCGAGGGCTAAGATGAGTGTGCGTGCACAGATGCACTGCTGGGTTGATGACGTAGTAAGTTTGAAGCGACGGCGTTCTTTGATGTTTTTTATGCGTCTGCGTTTCGTTTGCAGCTGTTTTAGTTTGGATACAATTTTAGATGAAAGTAATTGCGATTGGCGATGTTTCTGGCGCATTATTTTGTAAAAGTTATTTGCAATGTCTGGCAAGCGCAATATTATTCGCAATTTGCGAATACGCGAATTTTGTTCCTGATAGTTGATTTTGTTTATCTATTTGAATGGTACTATATGCCGATTAGAACATGCGTGTTAATTAATTAAGATTTGCAAATTTTCGCGTTATGTTTTGAGGGTTTGTTATTAGTCTTTTTAGTTACAATTTTCTCGTGAACGAATTTAGTGACGGCTCGTCACAGTAAAGTTTGAGGTTTTGTCGAAACCAACAAAGTGAATATACGTAAATATGTAGAATGGCAGATCAAAATTAATAAGAAACTTTCGCAATGCGTAACTAAATTCACTTTAACGAACACTTTTCTTTAAAATAAACGACGTTTTTTGTTACGAAAAAACAAACAACGACTTGAAATGCAATAATACTTTTCACAATCGCACGGAAGAAATAGTTTTGTATGACACGTCAGTTAGGCGACAGGTCCGTCAGAAACGCCAACTATTCAAATTCATTTGAAGTGGCGATTCCCATGCAAAATTTTTATTTTTTTTTAATCTTTTAGCCGTCTTATTTTTTATAAATTTTCTTACATATAAACCTTGTCCTGACAATAAGGTACACGTAAAAAATAGAATCGTCCAATTCGGTGCAGCCGTTCTGAAGTTATGAGCGTACATACATTTCGGCGATTCATTTTTATTAATATAGATATAAATTTTGTATTATAATAGGGTCCACATGACGAATGACGTTTCCGGGTTTGTAAACGAAAATGTCTGTCTATCTGTTCGCGATTTTGCTAGACAAAACTACTAGACTGATTGGTTAGAGTAGTTGCTGTTGAATTTTGGGTATACTTTAAGACTATCGTATAGTTATATTTAGTTTTTAAGTCGTTTAAAAAAAAAAAAAATGAGAATTTATCTTATAATGAAAAACCGACTGCTCTGAAATCTTGTAAACGCACTACCGTAAACACGGTAAATCGTTAATTACAATTTACCTATCTGTTTAACTTCCCTAAAAACTTGATTACGTCACCTCAAAATGTTTCCAGATAAATCCTATCTACGAGTAAAAACTAAAAATATTATATTACGGTATTGTACGTCTAGAATTGTGATTGTTAGTGCAGATATTATAGTGTGGACAAAAATTCAAAATAGTGCAACAAAATTTAAAAATTTACTGTGGAACCGACCAAACAAATTGTTCTGAAATTTAGAACATGCTTTGAGGTTATCACTAGTCTGATAAATCACTGGCCAAAATTTGTTTATTTATCCCCATCAATATTTAGCTACCGTAGCCTCTAATGTTTGCAATGTAAATTTTATTTAAAATGTGTAAAAAAAATATGCGCCTGTAAGCGTGTCTTTTTTTTTTTTTTGAAAAATTGTCTTCAAAAAAATCTGTAGAATAAAAAACTTTCCATCAGGCCACACTTCTGATGGTCCGGGAAGTACTGACTAAACTCTTTAGATCAATTGTTTAAAATATCAGTTTCACATCTAATTACTGATTTCATTAAGTCATTTATTTCGTATCTAATAACACTGTTGAGAGGCTCATTTTTATCTTCGTTCAATATTCTGTTCTGTGCATTCTTGAATTTATTCTTTACCTGCATGAGTTTGTTCTTTATATCTGTAATAATTTCAACTTTCACCTTAATGAATGCTTGTAAAACTACGTTACCACTTTATATATTCAGTAAAATGATTTATTTCGTATATCGATCAATAAATTGTTTTACTTACTACATTTTTACAGCTGTAGTTTGTCGAGTTAGCACTTTTAAAATTTCCAGTTTATTCAAACTTTAAAATGGTAACTTTCATTTGTAGACCCCTTCTGATTTCTAATCTCTCTCTCTCTCTCTCCATACCTCTGATCAACTCAGATCGGCATTCGAGATCTTTTTTTCTTCCTTGTATTAGGTTCGTTATTGTTTCGACATGGAAGTGATATACAATACAACGAGCTTTATTTAATATCTAATGTTCGTGGGAAATTTTGCTTTATTTTTGACATTCAAAGAATTTGTTAAACTTTTATTTACCATATTTTACATATATAGTTTTATAGGCGTTTCTTGATACTCTTATTAGTAGGAACTATGCAATTGGCAATCGTGTTCGATGTTCCTAGTGCTTATTAATTCCCTCTGGTCCTCGTATCAGCTAACGTAACTTTTAAATAGTGTATGTACAAACGAGCACATCATTCAGAATAAAAAAAAGATTTTATGGAAAAGTTCTTTTATTGAGAGTATAGGAACAGAGAAGACATCTAAACCGATACAACAGAGCAGAGTGTAAAGAATAACAAGATACTTGTATCACATGCACATATTTACACAATTTTACATATAAAAAATACAAATACAAAACAACACCTAGAACTTAAGAAACTAAAGAGAAAACAAGTATTTCAGTACAAGGTAGCGACATTACTAAAGTTCAACAATTGAACCTACCCTCCAAATTCAAATACATACCCATTACCGAAACTGTATGGTTTCCCCGGTTCATCGTTATATTCCGGCTCTTTCACTCCACTGCTGATGGCATTGGAAATGGGTGCCGCGGCTGGTTGGTAGGGTCTGTTTTGAGCGTAGGCACCAGCAGCCACATAGGGCTGGGGCCTTTGGTACAGTTCGGGCCTGTACTGCCCATCATCTTGCTTTCCATAACTTCCAAGCCCTTGTGGCGCTGCTTGAATTGGAAGTCCTGCTCCGGGAACCGGAGCCAGCGGTTGTGGAGCTTTTGGCAAGTGATCGGCTTCTAAAATCTTGAATCCTTCTTTGCCCGCTGTGTATTTGACAGAGATTTTCCTTCCGGTGGGATCTACGTACGAGTAACCTCCGTTTCGGGAACCATCAGGAGCTATGCTTTCTCCTTGAGCAAGGCCGTTTTCTGAAGTGAAGAGGTACTTGAAGTTACCGTCATGGTTTAGTGCTTGTTTGTGACTGAGGATTTGTGGTGGCGGTGCTCTGTTGTAATTGTACTGGTCTTGGTATTGGCCTTCTCCGCCTCCGCCGTATTGGCATAAGGAGGGCGAGAATAAAGCCAAAAGTCCAATTAGCTGAAATTAAATTGAAAAAAATGATAAATTAGATGTCAATACCGGAGGATTAGAAGAACTTAAAGAGAGTAAAATAATGTTCCATGCATACATAATACAAATGTTTATACAATACGAGGCAATACCTGGTTTAAGTACATATTGCCTTTATTAAAAACAGAGAAAAAGTGTTTATGAGAGGCATTCATAAAACAAAAAGGATTTTCATTTCGAAGCAATTTTGGATTTGTGATTTAAAGCAAAACTAGAATATGTTGTGTATTTGTCCATTGTTATAATACACACTAAGCAACGACGATACGAGTTAGGTAATGAAAATATATAGCATGGAAATTAAGTTAAAATAAAAATGTCTTCTTTTTCTTATCCGGTCCTTCTTCTACTTTTAAGTATACAGAGCAAATAAATATATAATGTATAATGAAGTAATTATTTTTCGGTACTATAATGTTCAAAATGGAAGAAACAGAAATTCAACTAGATTAGAAAAATATAAAAGAAAAATCAATGAATGATCTGTTTATAGAAAACAAGAAACAGAGTAAAATACAATAATAAAAGACATAGCGTTTTATTTGAAAAAAACAAAATATCGATATTTGAAAATTGTAAACATTTAGATTTTTTTTAGCACTGTGTATAATAAGATTCAGTCTAAATGAAACCACAACAAAGTGCGTACTTCTGCTTATATTCCCATAAAATATTGTAGCACAGATGTTAAAAATAACTCTATTGCGACTTTTTTAGTAAATTACAAAAATTTACTAAAAAAGTCGCAAAAAAATCCAAGAAAATTATTCATAAACCACTACGAATGAATCATAAAACATAATTCCTTTAAATTTACAAATTAACTTCTTTCGGCTCTTTTACGTCTACAACGATCTTTAGTGTGCTCTTCTTACACTATTTCCACTCTACTAAGTAAAATTTATACAAGCTAACTAACCGAAGGATCAAACACTGAAATTAAATCAAAATCCCTCCAGTGGATATAAATACATATATTCAATAAAATTAATTTCTGTTCTTGAGTCTATACTTGCAATATTACACTGTTTCCAGCCAAAATAAAAATGTTGGGCTTAAATTATTTTCAAAGCTGTGATTTAGTTGACTATTAAAGTGATTTTTTTTTCTTGCTTCTGTAGCGTGAGCTTTCCAATTTCATGTTTTCCTGACATTGCGTAGTTTGTAGAACACAAAAATGCCGATTTTCTGTTTCCGTTTGGGTAGTTCGCGATACATATGTATGAACAGCAATATATCCATTAAAAAATTGAGAACTATCACAAAATTAAAATTTTTGATGAAAAATATGTCCCAATGCACTGTTTAAATATACCTATAGGTATCGTTTTTTATGTTTTTAATAATTTTCAAATAGGTACTGGAAAACTCATCTTTTGCAAAATTTACGTAAATATCTGCATACTATATTAAAAATTGGCCTAAAGTTATTTAAGCAGAATTTCCTTGCACAAATCCAGTTTTTTTTGTAAAATTATAAATGTTGATTTAGCAAAATTTTACTTATTTTAATATAATCTCTAAAAAAAACTATTGATAATAGTGTAAAAAAATTCTTAAGGATGGGATTCGAACCCATTTAGGCGGCAGAGTACGAATCCGACCATCCATCACTTGATCAACTCGCCCATCAGGTACGTGATGCGTGAAACACGTGACAAATATTGCACAAAACATTTTTTTGTAAAGAATATGATAAAAATTAAGGTGGATTCATAACCCACGTGTACATGAGTATATTATTTCATTAAATTCAGTAACCTTACTATGCAAAATGATGAGGGATGTCATCAAATTGTTGGTGGGAATGATTACACAAATCTTGGTTACCATCTACATGATATTCTTAAATGAAACCTAAAACTTAACAATAATAGGTCCAGTAATTTTGGTGATTATCTGACTAATAAAAATAGACACGGCAACAGGTGGATGGAAACTATTTTTTGTACTATAGGTATGAATTTTTAAATGACATCATTACATTTTTGGTGAGGATGAACAGACCAATTTTGGTGGACGTTTTAGATTCCTAAAGTGAGAATCAAATTTCAGATTTTATAAGAGTTTTAAGAAAAAATATTTGTAGCATACATCTGGTATAACCTTTTATTACTAACTACTACATGTACATTATATTCAACTATTTTGAGCCATTCAGTATTTTGTCAATACATTGTCACATAATATTTCATAATTTTTCTTACGCAAATGATAAAGCAAAAAGTTTAAGCATTTAAATTTGAGTTACAAATATATTTTTTTAAATTATCATATCAGTACTATAGAAAATAATAAAATACACATTTTGATATGCAGTATGTTAACTGCTACCTACATTTAATAATGCGAAAATAATAAAAAAAATAAAAAAAACACGGTTCGTATACGGGATCCTTAACAGAAACGAATAGCATTAAAATTTTTGTATTCTAAAAATACACAGCATGAAAGAGACAATGTCGATTGTCATGGTTTTTAATTTCGCTGATTTTGTTGACTATTAAATTAAAGTAAGTAAGTTTATAGGTAATAAATTCACTTGAAGCGCATATTTTCAGAGATAATGAAACAAACTTTTGATGCAGTAAATTTCAGCGTTTTAAGAATAAATTAAGTTATATATCAAGAGCTAAAAATAAAGATAAAATTAAAAATAAATCAATAACTGAAATATTCAGTTATCTAAATGTAACGGTATTGTAGTAATGACAGGAAGTGACAAAAGTATGTGTACAAATTAAACAAGAGTTAAAGTGGAAAAAATCCTGAAAATTTGATAACACGCTTGATACAACTGAATGCGGTGTACATTTCTGAATTCTAAAATTCCGAGCTACTATAGCGTGAAACAGACAATATTAGATTGTCATACTTGGTTAACTCCACTGACCACGATTCCGTCACCTAGAAAAATTTTAATAAACTGTGAAATTGGTATACCGAAATCTGACCAATATGTCACTCAAAGAATACAGTGAAACAAATAACAATAATAACAAATCGTTGTAATTGTTGCTAAATTACATAATAGCACAGTTACAAACGTAATTATTACCTAGACCATTTAACACTTACACGCTGATTTCCGTATACAATAGCTAATATTTAGATCGTGAAAGTGGACTTAAAAATTCAGCAAACCATACTCACTGTGAATGTATTCATTGTATCCCAACACAATTACAAACTGCACTGCACCCTTACTGATCTTGATCGCGGCTTTATAAGTGTGGTGGGTGGGCAGGTCTATAGCGAATTCGATGCCCTTGCCATGGAGAAAGTGTCCTGGCTTGGCGCTTTATATTTTTATTCGAGTATTTGCGTTACATAAACACGAATTACTTTCATTCATCAAACATGTAATGCAGGAAAATAATTGTCGTGCTAAAAAGGAATGTCATAAAAAGGGAAAAATCTGAAAAAACGGATTATTATATCTATTGTTGGGCAAGTTTTAATATTCGAGCACGTGCATTATTTTTCTGTTGGAGAAATGCGAAATTTTTGTGGCAAGTTTAGATACAAAGTAATTTCCGTTTGTCTTTGTATAAACGCAGACTGTTTCCAACAAAATCAAGAATTTTTTATTTTGATTCTTGAGACGTGATTCAACAGAATTTTAAGAAATTGAAACATAGTGAGTGTTAATGCTTATAGCTTTGACTATGTTACCACCAATAAGGCAATATCCGCACGTATTTTTAGTGTAAGCAAATTTTGCGTCACAGTCCTTTCTTGATAATGCAAATTTACGTAATTTCTTCTATAGATTTACAGTGAAACAAATTTAACTAGATTGTTATATAAATTTGCATTCATTAATAATTTATTATGGATATAATTATGAAATTAGTTGCTTGTTAATGTTGGAATGAAATTCTGGTACAAAAATAATACTTATCTAATTGTAAGTAGGTAACGTTTTAAGTTAATTTAACACTTCTAATTTGTGTACAACGTATGTGTCCACATGATATGGAATAAATCGATAAAAAAATAAATTAGGAATGAAATTTACTAAAAATATACCGGCAGGTAAATTGACATACGAATTCATGTTAAAAGCACAAGGAAAGCTTTGTTTGAACCTTGTCGAATGCAAAAATAATGGTTTTCAGTTTCTGTATCTGTTGACGATTTTGTACGAAATTAACAATATCATTAATTTGAATTTTTAAGTATACCTTAGTTATTAGATGTGATAAAAGGCGATTATTCTACTCATTTCCTACAAAAAATCTTAACGTCTTCTTAAAATATTGTCCAATAAATCTAATTTTTAATGTACAGTATAGTTTGTCCGTTTATCTGCTTTTAAGTTCGAATATCTGGTTTGACAAAATGGTGATATTTTTAGTTTTATAGCAAATACTTAGGTATTACAAAATTAATATATTTGTTTGGCAGCACATAAAACGTTTCCTTTCGAAATTTTGTTGTGTATACTATGAACATATACAGGGTGATCAAAAAATAACGGATTAGCTCGGTGGTACATTGTTAAAAAAGCTCTGATGAACTCGGAAAAAATGGTTTAAAAAATCTCTGAACCAAATTTTTGAAAATATTAAATTTTAAATTTGAAGTCGTAACTTTGGTATGTTTTAATGTGAATTTAATTAACGGTTTAAAATTTCGATAACAATAGTCAAAAATGATATTTGTCAACAGTAAAAATTGACGTTGTGGATCATATTCTAGCAAATTATTATTAAGTTATTAATAACTAATTATATTATTTAACTGCAGTTCATTAAAACAAATCACTTAATTTTTTAACTTTCAGGTAATTATTTTCAAAAGTTTGGTGCCGGAATTTTTTTAACCAATTTTTTTAGTTCTTCAGAGCCTTTTTAACACCCAACCATTGAGTTTATCCGCCATTTTTTGATCATCTCTATAGTGCGAATTCTGACTCGAGTCTTTTGACTTCTCACACTTGTCTTGGCAGTTATTATATTTTAACAAAATTTTCAATACAGTCCATGTCGATAAATCCTTTCCCAACCATCTGGACTGTGGCAAGATTACAAGGATGTGTGGTTAAGCCGTGATAAAAATTAGTCAAAGTCAATAGATATTTGAGGCAGAATACGCACTATATTTCTAATCGTAGTATACTCGTAAATATCACAAATTTTACACTATACATACCTACTTTAAAAATAATACCGTGCCTTTTTAAAATTTCGATAGGATGCTAATATGAATTGAAAAATAATACCGAGAGTCAAAAAACACCATCAAAGACAACCATAGATTTTTGAAGATTTCATTTTGGTAGAGTTTTCGTCTTATTAGGTTACCGTCAATTTGAAAGTTTGGGTTGAAAATGTAATAATCAAAGACAAATCTTCAAAAATTCAAGGCTGCTTTTGATCGTGTTTTTTATTGTTCTTTCGGTAGAAACGTAACTAAAGTTAGTTAATTCATCCTCTCAAGAATGTGACATCTGCAAAAAAAAAAATTAATTGGAGCAAACTTTACTTGCTATTGAACCACAATCAATTCAAAAAATTCTTTCTTTCTTTGGTAAATTATAAAAATTCATACTGTGCTTTTTATTGTTTTGTGATAACGCGTAGGTATATATAAAAATAAAAAGTAATAATGTAGAATCAATAAAATTATACTTAATCATAGTGGCAGTAATATTTATGGTCCAACAGAATTTAGGGATTAACTGATTTATTCATTACTGTTTTTAAGAATCCTGTATAAAAGCTAAGTATAGTAAACGGGTCCATCCACTTTTATATTTTCTCGAGGTTTCATGATCCCTACAGCACGAAAAAAGTAATCCCCAGTTTCCGTCTGTCTGTGTATCTGTCTGGTGTCTGTATCCATTTTTAATAGACGCGTAATCTCCGAAACTTCTGGACCGATTGTGGTCTAATTTTGTATGTGTATTAGAAATATCATGTAGATGGTTAAATGCTAACCAAAATTTTGCTAATCATCCCCACCAACAATTTGAAGACGTCATTTCAAAGAATTCTGTGTTTATTTGATTTAACTGTTATAGACCCCTATATACTTACTCCTATAAGTCTGGTGAACGAATCCGCTTTGAATTTTTTCCAAAAATATAAAGCACGGTATAATACTAGTTTACCATGACCGTAAGGCATCGAGGCCGTGGTGTAGTGGTTAAGGCTGAGGAAAGCGGATCGGACGTCGCACGTTCGATTCCAAGCTTGGCTCTTCGTTTTTTCCCTTTTTAATTCTCTTTTTCTCTCCCATTGTGTATTATTTATGTTTGATTTTGTTTGATTGTGGTTTAATTAATAATTTTAGTCCTTTGTTTTGAGGAAGCAAACTCAACCAAATCAAACTAATGTCTACGTGAAATTCTTTCGATGTATAAACATAATTAAATTAAGCTTCATGTTGCTATTAGCTAGTGCTGAAGGACATTTTATCCCGTTAGTTACGTGGTTTAAATATATTTCACATTGTTCGTACGGCAAGAGGCTGCAGGGGTGTTATTTATGCCGCTCGTTTTTACTTTACAGCGGTTATTTCAAAACGAATATCGTAATATCAATTTTTTTATTTTTTTTAAAGAGCTGGATTTGTTGGATTATACTTCAAGGGCGAGGGGAGTTTTGTCAAAATATCCTTCGACCAATTTTTTAATAAATATTTGTGATGAGTTTCGAGAGAAGATGAATAAATGCTTTTGGTGTAGGCAAACTTGCAAAAAAAAATATTTCGTGGATTTTAACAACTTACTTAAAATTTACTTAAAAGCTGTATATATAGTTTCCATCGCGAGTAGGTTATTAATATTGTTAATAAATTAATAAAATCCACTGTTTTCTCTTTTCCTTTGCTACAAAATGTGTTATGCATATTACATGTTAGCAATATCGGGTAGATGGTAAAGCGGTAACCAAAATTTGTTTAATCATTCCCACTAACAATTTTATGATCTCACCTCAAAATTGTGCTAGTAACTTTTATTAAAAATTTGTAAAATAACATACTACTGTACTTTTGGTTTATGAATCCGCTTTGAGTTTTTCCCTTAGGGATCCACATTTTAGCCAAAAAAATCCAAATTGTATAACAACCTTTTATTCTCGTAATTGTCTGGCAGTGTATCGATTAGCGTGTCCTGCTCGCAACGCGGAGGTTGTGAATTCGATTACCTTATGCAACTTTTTTTTCTTACACTGTGACTGGTATTATTTATATTTTTTATCTTATAAGGTTTATTATTAACAAAAAAATCCCAAAACAAATTTTATAATTTTTTGAAGAATGGGGATTTGTTGTTCTGTACAAATAACCTTAAACCAATTTTTGTTATCTGTAGCACCACCATTTTGTCTGATTACATCGATACGCTGGCAAAGTAAAAACGATATTTAATTAAAACTGCCAGATTAATTAAAATTTTACCAATAATTCAAAATTGCCAACACAAAAATTCACCTCAATTTTTTTTTTCGAAAAGAAATCATCTTATTGGAAAAAAGGCTCACGACGATTTTAAAATGTATCAGTTGCAAAAAGGACTTGTTAACTAAGTATGTTTCAGGAACGAAAAATTGTTCTGATTCTTATGTTCTGCAGAGGGATGTTTGAATTTTGCCTTTATCTTTTGGCAAAAACGTTGTATTGTGCTTGATCCGATAGTTTATTATCGTTCTGCATAAATTAAGAGTTGATGTGTAGCAAAAAGATAGTGTCGCTAGAGGCCAAAGTCGTCGTCTCTATTAGAGTGGAACAATTAATTGTCAATTTTTACTTGGTGTTTATAACAGATTTTTCTTAGAGATAATTAAAGGTGAAATGGGGAAGACAACAACATATTTACTTCTTATATTCTTTTATCAGAAATGTTTACTTATTCTTATTTTCACCTGCAATATCAATCTAAATGTGTTATAATTATGCGGAGAAACCAGTTAAGGATGTGAACGCGACTAAAAACTGGCTATTTTTTCTTAAATTGAATACTTCGATCTGCATAAGAACTTTTCGACTATATGAGATTGATAGCGATAACTGTATTACAGTTGTTATTCCACGGCTTTTTTGGCGACTGAGTGCAATTTCGATGTTCTTTGTAAGAAATTCTTATTTGCTCACTGGAGTGAAAAATATACGTAAAAATACTGTTTTATTGTAGGTAATACAATAACGCAATTTATTTCTTTTCAAAAATATTCACCTAGAAAACCTATTCGAGAAAAGTTGTAATAAACGGACACGTTTAAAAAGTTATTAGTTAGTAAAAGGTCTGCCTTAATCTTAGAGATGTGGTCGAGTTCACAAGAAGATCATAAAAAAGATAAAGTTGTTATTTGCTCAATCATTAGACGCCCCAAAAGTGAGATGTAGAAAGCATTAAAGTATTGGAAAGGCAAATCGAAAGCTCTATCGGTAGGGAGAGAAATGATTTAAGGATTTATTTTCTCGACGAGTGGGGTAATGATGAGGGATGGGTATTTAATAAAACGTGTTTTTAGTTTAATAACTTTTGTTCCATTTATTACACCACAAATAATACAGATATTAACATCAAACATTAAATACCAGTAATAGCCACTCTACATATCGAGTGTTATATAGATCTCTATAAGAATAACATGCAATTACACTACATCTAAACCAGGTACCAACTTACGGCCCTATTGTTTAGCAATAATACTGTAACGGCAACACGCGTATCAGCATGATTGCCCTTGTTGTTCGGACCCTTACCAGCTTTTAACGAAAATGTTTATATTGGTCACAGGTATATTGGGACTGATTATTACAATGATGATTATTGTCTCTTCACAATAATCTTCTGAGGAGCTCGGACCTCCTGAAGGTAAAATATCTGCGGAGACGACAGACAGATAAAACACAACGACCGAGTCACAGGTTATACTGATTGGTTATACAATTAACGATAAATAAGCATGAACATTAAGGTCCCCTTACTGCATTTCCAGGGGCTGACCCCAGCACACCAGGCTTTTCCAAAATGATGTGTTTTGATTGGCTCAGCAATTCTCTTATATGCATATTTCAGCCGAATAGTTGCTACACGTATTACAAATAAGATTAGACACTTAATAATGTTGTATGGCAATCATTAGCCGGGCTTACGATGGGAGCGCCGTTTTATTCATCAACACTTACGCCAATAGGTTTCTTGTGCTTCGAGGGACTCTGATTGCCTCGCCTCCTGCCGGAACGGATTATGTGCAGCCATTCACATTAATCCATAACGAGGGCCCCCGAAAAGTTAGGGAATTTTGACAAGTGCAACTCCCATCAAAGAGTCGATTTTGGGTTACAGAAGCACAATCTTTTATCTTACAATGCTTTAACTTAACACGAAAGAAACTCTGAAAGTCTGTCCAGATACGCTCTCAGAGCGTGAAAATTTAACAAGACCATGTTCCAACAACCTCGAAGCAATTTACACACACCCGAATCTTTTGTGGAACATTCGAGAACTTCTAATATTATTGCATCGTTGCCACATTTACTCCTCCTCATCTTCGTTCTGGTACGTCACGTACCTCACCGATGTCTTCTCGTCTAGTAGCAGAGACTGAAAAAAAAAACATCGAGTTACTTCATTTTTTATAACTGACACTGTCATTTTTGTACTATTTTATTTTTGATAAACATGGTTTGGAGTACTGTTGATGATTTTGAAGAAAGTGAAACAGAATGTCTACATTGTGCACCTCCAAAACAACTCGTAGCTTCTCACGCCACCAGCTACTTAGACCACGCTTGTGAACTAGATGTGAATTCAGCTCCATCATATGTGAGACTTACAGGAATCATTTGTACGATAGGTCCTTCGTCTTCTAATGTAGACACATTAGAAAGAATGATGGAGACAGGAATGAATATTGCTCGTTTAAACTTCTCTCATGGTTCACATGAGGAACATGCGCAATCAATTCAAAATATAAGGACGGCAGCGAACAATTATTCTACACGACTTGGACTGGAATTTCCCATGGCGATAGCTGTAGATGTTAAAGGACCTGAAATTCGAATTGGATATTTTGAAGGCGGAATAGATGCTGAAGTCGAACTTAGAAATGGCGAACAGATCAAGCTGACGACTGACAAGGCATATTTTGAGAAAGGAAGCGCTAGCGTAATGTACATAGATTATGACAACATTCAGAAAGTAGTTCAAGTGGGAAACAGGATTTACATAGACAGTGGTGTTATTTCTTTGATATGCACCAATATTCAAGGATCGGTTTTAACTTGTACCATTGAACATGGGGGAACCCTTGGTGGTTGCAAAGGAGTTAATCTACCAGGTGTAGCAATTGATCTACCTGTTGTTTCTCTAAAAGACAAAGAAGATTTACGTTTCGGAGTAGAACAGAATATCGACATAATATTTGCGTCCTACATTCGAGAAGCTGCTGCTCTGACTGAGTTACGGGACGTCCTTGGCCACAATGGACGCCGAATAAAGATAATTGCCAAAATCGAGAATCAGCAAGGAGTGGAAAACATAGATGAAATTATTAAAGCATCAGATGGCATCATGATAGGCAGAAGTGATTTAGGAATTGAACTTCCAGTAGAGAAGTTATTTCTGGCTCAGAAATCTATTATAGCCAAATGTAACACATTTGGTAAACCTGTTATCTGTGCTAATCAGTTACTTCACTCTATGACAAAAAAACCACGACCTACTCGTGCCGAATGTACAGACGTTGCTAATGCTGTACTGGACGGTGCTGACTGTGTCATGTTGTCAATAGAAACTGCTAAAGGGGAGTATCCTGTTGAGACTATCCAGACCATGGCAAAAATTTGCAAAGAAGCGGAATCGGCATTTTGGCAAAGAGAGTTTTTTCATGAGCTTAGTAGTAAAGTTATACCTCCTTTGGAGCCAGCTCACGCTATTGCTATCGCAGCTGTTGAAACTGCAGCGAAATGTCTGGCAGCTGCTATAATCGTTATAACATCGTCAGGCAGGTCGGCTTTTCTTTTATCGAAATATCGGCCACACTGTCCGATTCTTGCTATAACACGCTATGCTCAAACTGCAAGACAAGCCAATTTACACAGGGGTATCTTGCCGTTGATTTACACCGTTGAAAGGCAGGAGGACTGGACAAAAGATACTGAATTTAGGATCAGTTTTGGTGTCAGCTTTGGGAAGTGGAAAGGGTTCATAAGAGCTGGAGATCCGGTTGTTGTAATTAGTGGTTCGCGTAAAGGTTCTGGAAACACGGATACGCTAAGAGTTTTATATGTGACAAAATCACCAGATGGTGAACCATGTGTATGTGATATGATCGATTACTCCAAATTGTATGGATGAATGAAAGCATATATTTTATATAAAACAAATATTTAAAGATATCTTTGTTTCAGTTCTCGAGTGAATTAAAGCCATAACACACGAGTTTATTTTAAACTTTAATTTTTAATTTAATCTTGAGAATTTTCGTCATCATGTTGACCTTTGTTGTCTAAGTTAGAAATGGAGTTATAATAACTAGTCTGTATTTATAAAGATGGTTGTACATATATGTATAATAAAATCAATACACTTATACGTCAAGCGAATATGCAAATCTACATTATATCCATATATCATTTATGTCAATCTATTTTAACACTTAAATGTAGTGGATAAAGCTTCAAAATTTTGAAAAAGTAACTGAAAACTATTATTGATAATAATTCACTTTGTCCATAAGTTTTCTCTGTGATATTAAAATATATTAAAAAAAAAACGCAATGAAATTTAATATGTTATAAGTTATTACGATTACAAAGTTGTGTAACTTAGTTTATTTATTTAAAGCGAAAAAATAAATGAACAAACCGAGTACAATAACACAAGTAATGGAACATTACCTTCTTTTCTTCTTTAGTCGGTGGGCTCTTCAAACTGATGAGTAGGGGAGCGTACAGAAAATTCAGTATGGCAATACCAAAAAGCATCCATTCGAAGCCAATCTTTTTAACTAAGGTTCCACTCATAGCTGGACCTAGACCCCAGAAAAAATGTAAGTCATGTACGCATAACATTTAAACATAAATCAGTTTTGCATGAGTGAGAAAGTAGGAAATAAACTAACGCACTAATACCAAAACTCGCTATGAAAATAACCACAAAAATCTAACAAAGAAAGTGTAGCTTACGCAAGATAAGATTATGTTAAATTATTACCAATAGCGAAACCAAGGCAGAAAGCAACGTCACCGATAGCGTAGACACTGCCATAGACGGCCGTATGTCGAATGTCGACCAAATAACCCAATTCTGGCATCATGGAACTGTCGACCATCCCTATCGCAAATCCAAGCCCAGCATTTGGGACGATCAAGTGATTCATGCTTGTTGCGAGGGGTATCTGAAATAGAAATTAAATGTCACAAAAGGATGTGATGTGCTCAAACTAACTGAATTTGAGTTCAAGTTTTGAAAATAAATAAATGTAATTTTTTTAGCCGAAACATGTGGGGCATGCAGCATAATTTTTATAAATTGTTTTTGTAACCAGTGAAACGATTTTTTCAAGTTTAGTGCAAGATTTGCAGGAGTTTTTATCGTATTGAGCACTGAGTGTCACATTTTTTAAATTTATTTTTATTTTCAAAATAGTTTTTTCTTCCTATTTTTTTAACAATCTATTTACGCAGTCTAATCTGAATTATCATTAGTATCTGAATTAATTCTAAACAGAAAACATTTGTTCATAAAATTGAGCCAAATTCTGAAATATTTCTTATATGAATAAACAATTCTTACAGGTGTCTCAAAAACGACTTTTTTTTTAATCGGTACGATTTCTGAAAATGTAAAACATTCACAACTTTCTTCAGTTAGAAGTTGCCATTATTTTTTTTACAGAACATAATCTGCAAAAGTTATTACAATCTTAATTTAGATTTATAATTCTCTATTAATTACTTCCCGATTGTAAGCTAAAGAAGTACTGTACTAGGATCCATCTGATGGATGGCTACTTTCATATTTTCTTGACATTTGATGACTTCTAGAGTAAGAAACAATATGTCCCCCGTTTATCGTTTCCTCCTGTCGCCGTTTGTCATCTGTGTCCATTTTTATTAGACAGATAATCTTCGAAACTACCGGACTGACTGATAAAATTTTATATGTATTTTAGGAATGTTGTGTGTATAAAATATAATAAAACAATTTGATCACGGCAAGATTTTACTTTGTGAACAGCAGTTCAATTTTACAAAAATAGAATACTCCTGTACTTGTGGTTTATGAATCCGCCTTATCCTAGGCATCCAAATTTTCGAACAAAAAATCGAAGTTATCACAATTATCAGAAATCACAATTATTTGGATTGTTTCTCTCATTCACGTAATTGATATCTCGCACACATACATATGAGACAAGCAGATCGTGTCCGGGTGACGTAAGGAAATTAAGCAACTTGTAGTCTGGGCGTGAGTTCGAATGTCATCCTCGCCGACATTTTTTCTTTCTAAGACGGTGAATTTGTTTGAATGTTTGAATGGAAGTTCTGTCTAAATTACTTTAGATTAATTTTTTTTTTAGTACATAGCTTGTAGTTTTATTGTCTCCATTTTTATTAATATTACTACCTCCTACAATTTATTTATACTGTTATTACCAATTGGAGTAATATTTTTGGTTGTAGTCAATTTTTGTTATACAATCCAGAAAAATATTGAGATATGACATTTGGTTTAAAATTAATTAGAACTCCATATTGGGTATCTCGTAAGCGGTGTACTCAAGTGGTCATTTACTAAATAAATTAATATATATGTGTGTTCCCATGGAACACTAGAAAATTTTGGTTTTTTGATAAATTTCCACCAATATGCTGCGCCCTCAGAAATTTTGGCTATGACACCTTATATGTTTTATTATGTCTTTTTAACAATGAATCGACGATCAAATATACTAAGCAAAACAATTTTATTTATTTTCAAAACTACTTCATGTGTGTTCCGAAGGTTTTCAAAAAATTCCTGATGCTTGTTGAAGATTCTCCAACGAACATAATTATTGTGATTTGACTGTTCACTCATTATTAAAATGTCTAGTTTTGAAAAATGTTTACATTGTGGTTCAACCTTTCTTACAACATAATGTATATTGAAAATTTTAATTAAATTTCATTCTCTGTGAAGCTATGCATTTCTGATAAATGAGTCATACTTAAATAAAAACTAAAATATTATTAAATTATATATCAAATTCAAATGTTATAAGCCATTTTTTAAGTCTCTCTCTTACAATTCACACCTTCTTATTATTATAATTAACATTCTATTTTATTTGAAAAACTATATGTAAATTATATTTTTTACCTGAATATTTATGGTTTTTATAATTAAACTGTTCTGTCATATACTTACTAATCTTTCTGATTTAGTTTTCACTACAATTGCACGTACCCTAAAATTAAAAACTGTGTCAAGTTACGACATACTTTTCGGCTGAATTTGTTTTGTCAACAAATTCTTGGATGACTAGACTAAAAATTTAAAAGATCACCTAGTATTATGTGATATTCCAAAATTTTTTTGATTTTTTTTTTACTTACTGGCTGTAGTATAATAAATGTGGATGTATTCTCTAATTATTATCCTTACATTTCTTCTACAATAGTTTTTCTGCATCACCTGTATTTATTTTATTTTATTTATATTTCTTTTTTACTGAAAATTTAAAATGTAGAGTTGTAAATTAGCCTTGAAATGATTAATGATTAAAAAAAAATTGTTCCTGCGTTTTTAGCATTTTTAAATTCAACAACTTTTTCTCAGTAGCTTAAACAATATAATATAGTGTAGGGTAGTTTTGGCTTTAAAAACTCTGCAATTGAGTTTTAATTATAAATAAAAAAGTAAAATCATAAATATTATTTCTAAGTGTAAACAAAATTTGGATATATCAGGAATAAATAACAGAGAAACATAGTTTTAAGAAATATAAAAAAAATAACACTGTATGAAGCAAAATTAAGTTTTTATCGGGTGAGCAACATAATTTGTACTTGAGTCATCTTTGATTAAATCCGTATGACTTCTTTAAATGATATGCTTAGCGCTATGTGTAAAACTACGCCCCAGAAAAGTTTTTAACAAAATTAATTTTAATTGGCTATAACTAATTTTTGAACCTAATAAATAATTGAAACAGATACCTAAAAAGGCAAAAATTAAAATTTTTATAAACTGATTTTAAATTTTGACTAAAATTTTACATCGATTTATTTAATTAATCAACCTGACTGTGATTTTCACATGATACGTCCTATATATTTTTTTGTTTTATTGCTTGTTATTTCATCCTGGAAAAATCATCTTTACATTAAAAACAGTTCTTTTCAGAAATTTATTTGCACATTCACTCAAAAATGTCATTTCCATTGGAGCAGAAAGCGTTTTTTTGAAATGACAAGCTTCTTGGAATGAACTCCGGGAAAAATTTTCTAACAACTTCGTCGACATAGTGCACAATTCGTGTATCATCAACATCTTTGGGAATTAGGAATAATCTCTGGCATTTTTCAGGGAATTTACACGCTGCTAACAAACTAGACCTAAACTAAACTGCAAGGATTTAGACACAAATAAAATAAAATAAAATAAAATAAAATAAAATAAAATAAAATAAAAACATTGTAAAGTGGTTCCCTTACCAACATTAAACAAATTCCGATGATGACCAGTCCTAATAAAGCGGCTAACCAGCGTCCCATTCGGTGTCCCAAGGGTCCGAAAAGGTTGGTACCGATCAGGTACGAGATACTAGCAGGAAGAAAAGTTACTCCCTGCTTCCACCGTTCGGCACCCATCGTGTCCATCATCCATATGGGAAGGGAAGGTTCCAGCATTGCGATTCCCATGTTGGCGAATGTTATAGCACCTTTTTACATAACGAAGATAAGTATGAATATTTCTGAGGAGTATTAGATGCAGTACCTGCTGCAATGATGATGTACGGATCGGTTACTAGCGCTTTCAAAGACGGCGGATCTGATTCTTGTCGTACTATTGCTGGTTGTAACATCAACAATTGTAAAACTGAAAAAAGCAGGATTATTCACGATTGTGTTGATAGCTAACTAATTTGTCAATACATGTTGCATTTAAAAGCAAATAAAATGTGGTGCGCTTGCTGCCTGTAACAAATTTGCCTTTGATTATTCAACATTATGAAAAATTATTTGGAAACAACAACAGATGCAAGCAATTTGTTTCCAAACCACGAACTATTAAAACGTGACATTTTTAGAGATTTATGAAACTATTTGATAAAAACAAATTAACAACGAATTGTTTGGGAAAATGTAATATTTAAATGTTTTATTGTTGTTTGATTTTGTCGTTTCTCGACCTAACGGTCGAGCAAAATATAGATGTGTAATGGGGGCATACTTATTTACTGAAGTGGATCGAGTGAACGAATGAAATCAAAACCTGAGAAAACCTTCATGTCTGCGAAGCGTAACAGCGTGGAAGAATCCACATAACTATACAAAGCTCGACAAACACCAGAAGAAGTGCTTCATTCTAAAGGAACAATTATAAATATCTATAATTAAACTTTTACTGGGAATTAATCCGTGACGCATTTTATCAATGTTTACCTTATATTACTCTTATTTATGGCATATTGTGAAATTGAATACTGAAATTGTATTATTTCATATACAATTCAAGTCGTCATAAAAAATTCTTCTAGAAAGTTAGTGCCAGTGATGTATTAGTTACCATTCACTCTATAAATTTTCCTTTTTCTTTCACATTTGAAGAACTGCCTCAAAAGTAATTACAGTTTTTAGATATTGTTAAAATAATGACTTCATAAATGTATGTGTGTTAATACGATTAAATATTGATGTTTTGTCAAAATTCTGAAAGATTTGGCTATAAGCAATATGACCACTCATGTTAACAATTTAGTATTACATTGAATAAACACCAGTCTATAAAAAAACGGCACAAAAAACGTGCTTTAAAACCATATGTGTGCGCGCCTAGTAACAACGTAACCAATCGTGTCAAGTCAATTGGCGTCAACTTACCGGGCTGGATGGTATTCAAGTACGGTCGTGGACAGTGAATTTCGTCCACCCAATTTCTTTGACAGAAAAAAATTCTAAATTAGCCCTTAGATCTTTCTAACCTTTTTTTTGTCATTTTGACATAAAGGGGCAAACATTTTTTTATACGATAACTAACACTAGTCCGCGGTAAGCCGAAAAGTGTAGCGACATCCCGTCTTGGAAAAGGGATATTAGTTTACCTTCATTAAAATAACTAATCGATGGCAGGTTCGAAGCTAAATTAAATTTGACAACACTTACGTCAGTCATCATGACAATAAAGCACCGACTACAGTGAATTTTTGTGAATTCGCGTGAATTGTGTAGACGAAATTCACTGTCCGCAACTGTACACTTCCAAGAGACTGTATAATTTGTAGGAAATATTCCTTCAACTTCATTTACCTGATTTTGAACTAAATCAAATTAATCAAGGATCAGTTGGCCCATTAATTTTATCCTCCTAAGTTGTTGTTGCCTTTAAATTTTGCAATTGTGAAGTAATACTTATTAAATATCAACCCATTAATTGTTAACGTTTTTTACTTATACATCTGTGTGAAATGAGTATCATATACTGCAGATGTTAGAATAAATGAAGTTGATCTGGAAGAATGTAGGTATCTCACGTAGCTTTATCATTTATGTATTTGCCATAGTTAATTCTGTTCTATTCTAAACTGGTTCAATGTGCATTTAGATTTAACACCCCATGACGTAAGTTCTTGTAATTTTTAATATTGACGTTATACTGGTTACAGGTTTTTCAATTATTAAAAGCAATTATTGTTGAAGTAGTTAGTCTCAAAGAACTTCGTAATATTTCTTGTGTGAAAAGAATGCAAGTTTTTGGACCTGAGCAATTATATTTCAATGAGTTCTTTTGTTTATTATTTAGTTCTTGTGTGTCAACTGTTCTGAAATTTTTACAGTGTTTTGTAAAATATGTAATACACTTTGTAATTAATTTGTTAATCATTTAAATTTTGTCTCAAAAGTGTAATACATTTGATGATTTAATTTTGGTTTTAATTTAGTTGTTTTTCACAACAAGTCGTTGTTTTTTTAATTTTGTGATCTGGATTCTTAATTTATGGGGGCTGACCGTAGCCAGCCGGCACTTAGGCCTCGCCTTTGGCCCCATTGTACCTTCCCCAAGTCCATATCAGGGTGTTTGTGATCACAATCATTTCTAAATTCTTTTCGGCTTAGTTATGATACATAGTAATAATAATACATACTATACCTAGTTGCATCTTTTGTGTGTTTCATTTTAAATCGGTAGCGTACAAAACTCCTATGAGAGAATTCGTGATGTTGTTAGTTACAAAAAATGAATTGACTTTCTGAATCACTCGGTACATAAATCTATATGGTCCTTATTAAGTCTTTAACATTTCACACCTATTACCTACTGTTAAAATTAGATTTTCATTTACTAAAATTTTCTGTTACATTTGTTTGTTCTCTAACGCATCACGTTCCAGAATTTATTCAAGATAATCGGTGCGATTCTGTTTGTACTTTGTTATAACGATTGATATTATAACAACATCGTTATTTTTCTAATTGTAACGACCGTCCTTCAGTTTTTGCTATTCTAGTAATCTCGGATTTAATAATTTCGTTATTTCTTAAATTCTTAACGATATCTTTATTTAAATCAAATGAAGTTAGGTTTTTTCCCGTTTTTTTTTTCGAAAGCAACGAATATAGCAGCATTCATACGTTTGTCATTTTGGCATTTTGAAAGTGTTGTTCGAATCCTGAACGTTTAAATCACATTTTTATATGGAAACTAATGGGGAGAACAAACGTAAAAAAGAGAAAGAAGTTAGCAAAGCCCAAAAGGAAAAAATGGTCACTTTTTTAGACGCAAACAAAATTATGACTGTGCCCACCAACTGCGGGTGCACGAGTGAAATTGTTTGATTTTTAATAAAAATAATGAATTCGGTTGAATATTTAGTAAAAAATCGTCACCCCCAATTTATTAATAAAAAAAAGTGTTCGTGGCAAAACGAGAAACTTTCATAGATAATTTATATATAATGTGAAAAAAATAAATTGTTTTGTGTCTCCGCTCAGTAATGAGTTAAAACCACCGGCCTGGATTAATACTGGCGTGAATGATCTATGACATGAAGGTATGTGGACACATTTTTGTTGAATGTATTTTTGTATTTATTTTCGTCACATAATTTCGTCTATTAATTGGTAATGACAACCTATTTTATATCTTCATATTTAACCCATCAATCAAATTGTGTCCCCCATTTCAAAAGCTTCCGAGCCGCCACTGGAATTAATGAAGAAAGTAGAAAAATAGTGAAGGATTTAAGTTGATTACTACAAAAATTTACCATTTTAGACATGTTTTAAGTTTCTTGTTGTCGAAATAAGTCTACACATATTAAGACAAAAAGGCAAAATACAGTCTTAACATATGTTAAGAAAAATAGCAAAATATACGCCCCGCCCACCCGCCCTATCTCAATTGTAATGTTTTTTTTTAATGATCTAGAGACAAAGGAGCGGAATTTAATAGAAAAATCCTTATTATTTCTCGATAAGAAATTACCATGTAAGACATGTTTTTGAGTATCGTGTAATTCAAAGAATACTAAGTATATTAAGAAAAAATTAAAGCCAAAAATGAAGCTCCACCTATCTACCTGCCTTTGATCACATAGTAATGAAGTTTTTATTCGTTGGCAGACCTAGGGGCGGAGCTTAATTGCAAAATCTATATTTTCTCACAAAAATTTACCATTTTAAACGTGTTTTAAGTTCTTGAGCATAAGAAAAAACATTACAATTGAGATGGGGTGGGTGGGGCTAATATTTTGCCTTTTTTTCTTAAAATACATAGTGTTCTTTGAACAACACGATACTGAAAAACATGTTTTTAATTTTTTGTAAAGAAATAACCATTTTGCAGTTAAGCGCCTCCCCCTTGGTTCACGGCGAATAAAAAATATCATTACAATTGAATGGGGCGGGTGGGCGGGCTTACTTTTCCTTTTTGTTTTAATATGTGTACACTTTTTTTGACAACAAGAAACTTAAAAAATGTTTAAAATGGAAAATTTGTATAAGGAAATATCGATTTTGCAATTAGGCTCCGCCCCATAATTGCAAAATTCATATGTTCTTGCAAAAATGTACCATTTTAACCATGTTTTTAGTTTCTTGTTGTAAAAAGATGGCTGTGTATTTGAGAAAACAAAGGTAATATGTATGTCTTAATTTTTTAACAATGACTCTAAAAATGTAACATTTATTGCACTAATGTTTACAAATTTCTTGAAAAAAAAATCTTTCTTTATTACGTGTAAAACGTGCAATGAAGATTTGTTTGTGTTACTGAATATTTGTCGACCAGTTGTCTACGATAACCTCAAATAATATTTGAAAAGAAGATAAACACTTTTAGAAGAACGCACTAATAAGACTTCGTAGGAACTTCGAATGTTGGGGGAGCAAACTAGTCAGCGGCATTCTTTATTCTGTTTTGGGATTTATTTTGGTTAATCGTAATATGGGTAATCTTTACCATTAATAAACGAATAATAATGCATGTCTTTAAACACGGAGAATAAGTGTATCTAATCTAAAAAGATACAGGTTTAGAGAAAAAAAGTTAAAGAGCGATGTTTGAGTAACTGAAACTAAAATCATGTTCAAATTGGCAGTGTTCTATTTCTAAAATTATTGCAGATTTTTCTTAATATTTATATACTTTCCATGTATTTTCATATATTCTATGGTTCTCTTCTAAGTTTTACAAGTATTTTGTATTCCAGCTTTTATTTACCCTATTTTTAACAAATGTGTGCATCAAAAAGAAGTATGTGCTTTCTTGTAGGGTTAATAAAATTGAGTCCTAATATACAGAGTGTTAATAAAAAATCTTAAATATCATAGTTTTCGAATATACAGAAAATATATATATATATAGAAAAAAAGTTAAAGACCAAAGTTGTACGGTTCCTTGAGGACTAACACTAAAATTATTTTTAACTATACAGAGTGTTGTGTTTTGAAGACGTAACACACAAGTTTTTTTTTAATGAAACACCCTATATATTTTTACACATTTCTGACTGATGTATTCTTAGGCGTTATAATCATCGTTTATTTTTGAAATTCCGACATTGCCAAGTTTTTCCAATTTTTTTTTATTTTTTGGACAATAAAAGGGTTTACAAAAAGTATGGTTATTTTTTACAATATTTTGTGGAAGGATAAATAAAGGTATGAGCTTTGTTTGGTAGCAACTAATTGAAATTTTTATATACAGAGTGTTTATAAAAAATTCTAAAACTTTACAATTTTTAAATATCGATATTTCAGTTTTTTCAAATGGAATACCTGTATTTTATAACTGTATCTTACTCTATTACTTGATCTCATTTTTCTAATATTATTGATGTGATTTTTAAAAAACTAAAAAATCACAGTAACTATCAACTTTAAATATAGAAAATATTCAACAAAAAAGAAAGAGAACAAAAAATAGAATGCAGTAACAAAATACAGAGTGTTCTCTGTTTGAAAACGAAATATCGATAGGTATTTGAAAATTTTAATTATTAAAACATTTTTTATAAACACTCTGTTTATGAAAATTTAATCTTATTTATACCACAACAAAGTTCGCGCCGTTCTTTACTTTTCCACAAAATTTTGTAACGCAGATTTTAAAATTAACGCTACTGTGATTTTTTTGTGAAAGCTTCCAGTGCTTCCACTCTAAAAAATTTCAAGAAAATTGGAATAACGTGGCACCGTAATGTCAAAAATAAACTAAGCCTAAGAAGAAGTCCATTAAAATATGTCAATATATATAGGGTGTTTCATTTAAAAAAACTAAGACGTGTGTTACACCATAAAAATAATTTTAGAGTCTAGTTCGTATAAGTTTGGTCTTTGACTATTTTCTATTTCTAATAATGAATGGGATATTGCGAAACGCGCACTTAGTGACTCATCCTGTACATAGCTCATTTTAACTTCCCGGACGTTTCACGACCTGTACACTACGAAAAAATATGTCTCCCATTTCCGTCTGTCTGTCTCTGTGGATTTTTATTAGACCGATAATTTCCGAAACTACTGGCCTAATCCTCTGAAATCCCCCGCCCCCAACAATTTAATGTCATATTCTCAAAATTTTGTTAGGAAACGCCATTTAAATTTTATAAAATAACATATTCTTAACATTTGTAGTTTATGAATCCGCCTTGATTTTCCACCGTAGGCATCTGGATTTTCCCAAAAAAATTCAATCTGCGTTATTAAAAATATTATAGGATAAGAGCACTGATTGATATGTGGTAAACTCCATGGCCGTGCTGTAAAAATGTTGAATTACTAACGCGAAAGTGGTTTCAATATCCCATGGGTCACAATTTTTTTATCAGTTCAATAAAGACTCACCCCATTTTCTAGAAAATTTGAAAATATACTAATGCTACGCTCGCCTGTTCTGTTTTGAGGAGACAAAATTATTCAAATTCTTCGGATTATTCTGATGGTCAACCAGTCGCATTCTTTCGATATACGTGTAAGCAGTCGAAGTTAAGCATGTATTGATAATACATATACTTTTCCGCTTGATTATCTGCTTTAAATAAATTTAATATTGTCGGTAACCATGCGGACAGCGCCCTCTCCACCGGAGTGTTATTTATATTGCATGGTTCTTTACCTATACTAAATTCACAAAATTAAATTTTATTATTTTTCAAAGAAGCTATATTTGATCCACTGTACTTCAGAGACGAGGAAATTTTTGTCTAAATATATAACTTTAGAGTTTTTTTTTTTTTCTTATAGGACACCCTGCATTTCATTAAGGCAATTTACTTTCTTTAGTATTCTTTTTCTTTTTGGTTAAGTACTTTCTATACTTGAAGTTGATAGTTTATCTGTGTGCTTTTTAAATTTACAGCTGTAATCATGTCTGTAATGTGTAATAGATAATTTCCGATAGATATATTGCAACAGACCAACAGATATGATAAAAATTACCATATGGCGAATTTTTTTTCTGAACTTTTGTTTCATTAAAAAATTTCAAGAAAATTGGATTGGGTTGATAACATTGCAAAAGAAGTTCACAAATAAAATATGTTTGTAAAGGTTCTGAAGGGAAAAACAACATTTTCATGTTCTATATACGAATTCTATTTAAGAAAATTAAGCTGTTTTTTTTCTGTCAAAAACAGAACACCCTGTATACATCAAAGTAATTTTAGTTTTTGTTGGTTATAAAGTTGCATACATTTAGATTTTACTTTTTTTGTGTTTTTAATTATTAACAAGACATCTCACTGTACAATAAATGAAATTGCAATTTTAGAATTCGCCAAATTTAGGAAGTAAACAATAGACAATGGGTTAAAGCCTAATTAGTGGCATGTTTTTCTTATAACATTTTCACACATGTTCAGTAATAATCTTTGCTTTTGAGGTTGTTAATTGTTTTGTGTGTTGTTTAAAACACTGTTCGAAAACGAAAAATTTTTAATTGATTCGAAGGATTTATTTCTAAATTTATCTGTCTTTCAAAAATGTTATGTAAACAACTACAACTTTATCGCAAATTTGATGATATAAAAAGACCATTTTTGACAGTGTGGTTAAATAATTTTGAAAAACATGAAAATCTAAAATAATTGAATTTTAATAAGTAAATATAAAATTTTAATGGCAATAATTGTGAAATGACAAAAATTTGTCACAAATTATATAATACATACGAGTATATGTAGCAACTCCTTCCAAAAATAGGCGCGTTTTTCGACCATTAAGAATATTGCACGTGCAGTATTTTTGAATTATCCCAAATATTCCATCACAAATTAACGTCTCATACTTGCAAAGTCTGAAGATCTATTGGAATGTCATTATAATAAAGTTTTCGCTTATTCTACAAGCTCCTGAATTAGGAAATCAAACAAACTAAAACCCTGCTTCCTAACTTTAAAATATCAAATCATTTGATATTTTAAAGTTAGGAAGCAAAATGATCAACTGTACTCCTGAGTTAAATTTAAGGTTTACATGCATACAATTTAACCAATGCTTCTAGGATTCTAGGTTTCTAGCTGGAATTAAACCTCCAACTTTCAGTTGTTCGTGATACTCACCACAGTGTCAAAACATAGAAATCTGTGGGTATGTAAAAGTAAACTTACGACCATCTCCTAGGGCCAGAGCTGACAAAACGAGGAACGGCGCCGACTTGCCGACAAATTCGTACATGACTCCTCCAAACGGTGGCCCAATTAGTACCCCCAAAGCCAATCCTCCCAGTGCAATACCCATTGCATTTCCTCGCTCCTTGTCGTCAGGATAACGTTCAGCCAACATTCCCATGCCGGATACGCTGGAACAGGAAGATCCGATTCCTTGAAGTGCCCTCGCGATGAACAAAACGCTGTAGCTCCGACCGAATGCAAATACTGAAAAGATACACAATTCCAATTAGTCCTTTCGCTGATTTTGACTGGCGAAGTTGGCCAAGAGCGAAGAAGTTTCAGTGCGGATAAGAACGGAAAGAAAAAATCGCACAGAGATTACTGCTTGAAGGGACGCGAATCGTATTTTATCTTTGTCTACGGCGCACCTCCATTAGTCCCGAAGCCGACTCCTATTAGCGCAGCTTCCGGAAGTGATTTAATTAGGACCACTTATACGTGGAATTATCACAAAGCGCCTTCAGATGTACGTCCTTTTACGATAACAAATTTATCGACGGCTGGGGTGTTTAATCAGGGCGTGCTGCATGCTTTATGGTTCGAGCCGACCTTCCAGGAATGACAGAATTCGGTAAAAATATGGCAGACTTAATGTAATATTACATAATAAAGCCATTTTTTATATGGATAAGCACCATCTGGACGTCGTTGAGCAAAATGCTACGAATTATAGTAAAAAATCGCCGCTTAGATCTACAAGAGAGCAATCTTTGATGATGTATAGTTAAAAAGTAAGTATAACAACAAATTTTGTAAGACTGTTCAGCACCTCATTAGCTATTGATGCACTAGTTCCCTGCATAAAATTTAGAAAAATTAAGATCAAAGGAAAAATTTCCTCAAACAATTTTTATCCTACATAAAATGTACCGAATTTACTTTTTTTTTTGGTTTTATTGAATAAGCTGACAACTACTGAAGATTTTTGTAGGTTTGCAGAAAATAACCTGTATAACGTCCACAAAAAATCTTGAGGTAAGCGTTTTTAATTCACCGAGAACAACATTTAGCTCACGCAGGGCCGTTAAGGTAGTTCTTGGAGTGGTTGTATACACTATTTTATTCAATTTTGACGAAATAATACTTCAAAGAAATACAAATGTTATTTTATAAAAATAATCTTAAAGAATCAGGTTTGTAGTTGGCACGATTTATTGTCATACCAACCCATCACTGAAAATTATAAACAACTTGTATTCTAAAAAGTGTTGTAATGGAAGCTCTGGGAAGAGTACTTCCAGTAAAATCCAATATGGATGAAAGTATACATTATCTGGAAAGTTCTCATCAATGTACTCATATTATTCGGAACCGAAGAAAATGTGGATATCAGCAGCAGGCTTGTAGATAATGTTTATTCGTACAGAGTTCATGTTAATTTTTTTTTCAATACTATCGGTAACAGCGTTCTTAAACAATATTCTACGGGGTATAGAGTAAACAGTTTTAGATATTGCAATTTCGATTCAAAAATGTAGGCAGTTTTTAATAGAGAAAACTAGATAACTTTTGTTTAAAGTTTTGATCTTAGTCGTTTTATTACAGCAAACTTTATGTGTGTAGGGGCTGTTTAATTTATAACTTAGGACCATATTGTTTACAAAAATATATATGTTAGTGCGATATATATACCCTGTGTTTGAAAACAAAACCCAAGCCACTAGTTGTCTTATTGTTTCAAGTACCACACTGTGTGATACTCAAAATATCTCTTTTAAATATACCACGATGTGATTTGGATTTTTTTTAGTGACACCCTATATATTTTTTTAGATATTCCTGTAGACATATTTTTCTGATGTATCATACCGGAATATTTTCAAACATTAACAATTATTGATGATCAAACATTTTTTTAATTCTTATTTTCGTGTAGATAGAAGAAATTAACAAAAGTTACAAAAATTATTATCAAACTTGCTGACATTAATTTTGGCATGAAGAAACTAGATTTGTATTCGCAAATAATTGTGTCCATAAATTCATCACAGCCGTTTTGACACAAAAATTGGATTAATTTGATGACTTTTTACTAAAATATGATATCATGCTACATCAGTGAATTCAGAAACCAAATCTCTAAAAGAATTTCTAATAAAATATGTAGGATGTCATTAAAAAAAATTGAATGTTGTAGACAAAATAAATAAACATTAATTTCTCGAAGTATATTTTGTAGTGTATTTAAAACGATTTAGTTTGAGGTATGCTCTGTTCTAAAAAATAAGACAACTATGGGCCTGGGCTTTTTTTCAAACACGTGGTATATATACAGGGTGAGTCACTAAGTGAGCGGTCGTCAAGATGTTAACAATTATCACACAAATTCGTTTTTTTACATATTCTCATTAGCCTCTTCCTAGATATTATAACTACAGTTTATTTGTGAAATTCTGATGCGACGTTGCCACGTTATTCCAATTTTTTTGAAATTTTTTGGCATGGGGGTTCACAAAATATCGCAGTAGGGTATTTTTAAAATTTGTGTTACTAGGTATGTATGTGCTTTCTTGTGGTATCAGTTAAATCAGATTTACAGTGTTTAATAAAAATTCTGAAATTTTACAATTTTGAAAAGCGATATTTCAGTTTTTTTCAAGTAAAACAGCCTGTAGTTTATTATTATATCTTATCTGATTTTTTTTTGTTCTCATTCTTCTAATGTGTCTTAAAAAAGTAAAAAATCGCAGTAATTATCAAGTTTAAATATGGAAAACACTTCATCTAAAAGAAAGAGAATAAAGAATAGAATAAGATGCAATAATACAGGGTGTCACAACAAAGCGCGTATCTTTATTTATCTCTACAGAAAAACACCGATTTCAAAAATAATCCCAGTGCGATTCCATTACTAAAAAATTTCAAGAAAATTGGAATAACGTGGCAATGTCGCATCGAAATCTCAAAATAAACTGTGATTGAAAATACTTTTTCATTTAAAAAAAGTAAGTTTGCGTTACGTCTTAAAAACAGAACAGTCTGTATAATTAAAAATAATTTTAGACTATAGTCTTCAAAAACCGTACAACTTTCGTCTGTGACTTTTTTCTATGTCTAATTATTTATGAGATTCGGAGAGGAAAAATCTGGTGAATTTAAGCATTCTAGGTTAAATAAACGATTATTGTTTTATTAGAAAAATCTTTAAGGGAATTTAACCCTTATTTAGGCTTTCCCATCCCCACTGGTAAAGCCCTAGCAACTAGGAGTGACGACCTTTAACCATATTGCTAGCTATAAATTCATTACACACATCCTAGCAGCTCCTATAAGTAACAAGTATTTTTCAACTGTGCCTTTTTTAAATTAGACATATTACTTCTGATTTATTTTTAAACTATTGAGTGTAATTTAACAAATTTGATCAATTACCTCAAGAAAACTTTCTTTCATTTCAAAAACAGCATGGATATATATACAGAGTGTGTCAGTTACTGGTTTTATCATAGTACCTCAGTTTTTTGGAAAACACAGAAGTTTGAAATTTATAACTGCTAATTAACACAAAGAAGGCAATAAAATGAACGTTTGTGTAGTATGACTTCTGAAATGTGGCCAGTTGACGCAAAAAAATAGAAATGAACGTATATTATACATTTGTAACAACATACATAACATAAAAATTTGAGTAAATTTCATTTGGTAACAAATTATTTAGATACATTCAGCGTTGCCAAAGTGCTTATCGGCATTTCTCGATAATACACTTAAGGGTGTTCGGGACATTCCAGACAGCCTATATGTATATATTTGTTTGTATATTTTAAAATAAAAAAAAAATAAATCTCTAATAAATAGAATAATTTCCAGAAAACCAGAACCAGTTTATTTTGTGGATGGTTTTATACCAATTAATCGTTCAAGATTTGAAAGTTATATCTTTTGAAATGTCTCTGACAAATAAACTGAGACGCAGTCAGTTAAAATTGGTTGAAGAAACTAAACCAAATCAATGACTGCTGCATCACTGAAAAAATAAAAATATATTCTAATAACATATTAAAAATAAACATACATTATTATTTATTATCTTTGAAAAGAAAAAGTTGAGATCATTGCCGATAAAAGCAAAAGCGATATACTTAATACCACTAGCATATACATTTGATATATTTTTTGTGTGCTAATAACCACTCTAAATTCCAAATTTCTGTTTTTTTTTAAATAACTGAAATATTAAAGTTAAACACGTACAATAAACTGGGACATCCGTATGTATAGGGTGGGTGAGTCAATAAGCTAGCGCTCCCTGATTATGAGTTATTACAAAAGGTCACGACTAAATTTATTGGAACACCTATATTGTTTTACAAATTCTAAGTGGCTTATTGTTGGTTTTAACAAGCACAACACGATAATAAATTACCCTGTATACTGTATATATATTTTTTGTTTTTCGTTGCCGGCTGACATAATTAAATCTATATGTAAATTAAATTTAAAAATTTAAAATAGAGGTTTATTGTCATTAAATCAGCAGCAATTTACACAGTCCTGTTTGATATTAATCTGAATTAAAACCACAGATTTTTGAACAAAATGATTTTAACAACGTGTCAGTAAAAAATTTGAAATTTCATGGATGAATTATGAACAAATCATATGCATTAATTTTAGTAGCATGAAAAGCACCTTATGAATTATTACAAAATGAGAAGTGAATTTTGTGATTATTAATAATAAATAAAAACGGTCATTAAAATGTTTCAGTCCCACTTTTTTTCCGTTTCAGCCATTTAAACCTCACGTAAATCAAACATTTAAACCCTTCTCATAATTAATGTATTTTTTAGTCCCTAATCCTATTAATTAAAAAAGACAGTCAAACATTTCGATTATGAAAGTTTACTTTGAAAATGTAATTTAATTTGTTTTACCGAGATTTTGTGCGGCGACACTGTGAAAATTTACAATTAAAATGGTTGATTATGTAAACATCACGGAAATTTTTCATTAAATAAGCTATTTAGGTAGATTCGGGGGATTTAACTTTTTTATATGTAGTCAAAGGAAAATTTTACTTACTTATTGTGGAAAGAAACATTATGACGAAACCTGCAAACATGGGGATGCTGTAGCCTATTCTGCAACAGATACAAATAAAGTTGATAAATTAAACCGACATTGATAAATAAAAAAAAATCTCCCAGGAATCGTGACACTGTCAAAAAAGCAAATTAAAAGTTCTTGTGGTTTATATATACGAAAATTAATTGGAAAATCGAATAGCTTTCTCCGCATTTTTCAACGACCGCTATTAAAAACTCCTTTATAAAATATGTGTATGTAACTTTTATTAACTGATTATAAACCATATTAATGCCTCGCTGCGTTATATGATTGACAAGTAAAATAAGAAACCCGACTGAAAACACTCTTATCCAACCGTAAGTTTCGTAATTACACAATTTTTCCTAAACTTGATAAAAAGTCAAAAAAAAGAAAACAAGTACAGTGTTACTTAATTCTTTTATTCAATTGTATTGCCATTGTCTCGTTTTGTAACGAGTTTAATTTCACTTACTTGTGAGTTAGAGGTCCAACAAATGGATTTGCCAATAACTGCACAAATGCCTTCGAAGCAAACATCATTCCCACTTCTACGGTTTCTTGTACAAGATCATGGTGCCGCATTTTTTGCTCTTCCTGTTCTGGATCTAACGTGGTTGTGAATACTGTTGACACGTTGTCTAAATAAAACAGATTTTCATTGATTTCGTTATCACACTGAAATACACTTACCGAAATCGTTAGACGATGTCGTAACAGAAATGTCGGCATTTTGATTCTTTATATATTGTGCACATGGATTCGGTGTTGGTGAAGGAGTCGTAGTTGTTGTCACTCGACTTAGTTTGTCCAAAGTAGCATTGGGGTGATTGATGTCGTACAAGAATTCAGGAATTATCGGTACTGTAACGAGAAATAGACGTAATAGTATGCGAATATTGCGATATCGATCGGTAAGTGCTTTGCAAGAGATCGAGGAAAAGCAGGACACATATTACAAGGTACTTAATGAGCAAATGACTCGTGTATCGTGTAATATCTGCACTATTAACTTTATTAAAAAATAAAAATGTAGTTGTCTACTAAACTATCGTGAATAAAAATGGAAGACAGATTTACTTTATCGTGAATGCAGTTTAAAATGCCACATCTATTTTGATTTGTTATGTCGTAATCTCCTTTTTTTTGTTCCAATATACCTATGTATCTACATATACAGGATGTCCCAACTGTCTAACGACGAAGACACACATTTGTCGCGAATCTTGCACCCTATATCAATATTCTTACCGATTTAACTTCCTTTTTTTGATTTGATTAAAAGTTTTCACCATAACTGCATTTTTATGTAAAAAAATCATCAAATTAAGAAATTCTCATCTTTACCATATTTAAAAATGGAGATTTAAGATTTTGTCCAAATGATTATTAACATTGTTCAGTCTTGGTGTAATTTAATAAATAGTTTGTATCTAGTTTTCTGTTGCGTATTTATCTTTTTTTTTATATTTATTTATCTACACAGATCAGAAAATATACACAGTACCATTAAAAAAATTAGCCAAATACACTGACGTCATCCGAGGTCATCAAGATGGCAGCGTTTGACAACTAGCCGGTTTTCTCATAAGAGTCAATGCTAATATTTTCGGAATTCATTTAAATTTGAGAGTGTGTCAACTGTGTTTTTATAGTTTGGTAAGTTTGTTACAGTTTCTAGATTGTGTAGATATCTGTAAAACGCACCATAACGTTTGAATATGCTTAAAAAATAAAGTTTTCCAATGTGATGTACAGGTTAACTTCGCTGCATCTTATATTATTTGTTTTGCAAATTAAATCTTTGTTAATGTACATCAATGTATATATATACATATACACTAGCATCTTAGTATTATAATATTTTGTATTTTAGGAGAAAATGCTTAAATTTTATGCTGTTATGGGTTGCGCGAATCGAACCACCAGAAATGCGGACAAATTTTATTTTCCTTTCCCAGCAATTAGCAACAATAAAGGTAAATATATACAGGATGGGGAAAAAAAGGCGGAAGCTTTGGTTAAAAGCTTTGAAACGGGTGGATTTAACGAAGCCAAAGTAAAGTATTCCTATGTTTGTTCGGATCATTTTATTTTAAGTACAGTAACTACCTATTAGATTTACAGTTTCTAATAAATTACTACATTGGTGCTCTTTTAGGTAAACCCGCAGATTTGTCGGATGTGGACCATCCTGATTATGTTCCATCACAAAATTTAGGATATCAAAATAAATCCACTCATAATACTTGTAATGTTGAAAGACACAGTCGTTTAAAAAAGAGAAAACTGAATAAATGCCTGTAGAGTTTTGAATGCACGAATTTCATTGTGGGTTATTTTACTTATTCCAAAAATAAAAAAGTTTGGAATGGTATTCATTGTTATGGTAGAGAATCGTCTAAACACAAATTAAAATCACTTGCACTCATTGTACATACGAGTATAAGAATCTACGCCGTTTAAATTGTTTAACTTTTGTACACATCTGTTTTTCTCTTTGACAGAAAGACATCGTGCATAATCACTTAAATTATCCATACTTTAAAAACAAATCACACACCTTCACTTAAACCTGTCACATTAACCTTAAACGAAAATATTAATTTCCGATTTACCGCTTAAAATACACGGATGTATTTTGGGTGACGAGGAATTCAGACCAAAACAGCGTTCTGTATTTTTATTTTTATTATGGTTTTTTAAACTCAAATCGCCAAAAAAAGCACCCAGATACACAGAAAAGATATGAAAGAAGCTATTCACGTGTTTATTTTCTAGATAAATACCCACACTTTTAAATAAAATGCGAAAATGTTAACATTGTCACTTATGGAGTTTCACGGCGCTTGTCAAACGCTGAGTTCCCGCCACAGCGTGACGTCACGTGTTATTGGCTAATTAAGCCATAGATTTTAACCTTATACTCTACTAGATGCGCAACTGCGTCGCGTAAAGTGAAGCCTATGGCGGCCATTTGTCAAAGAGGCAAAATACTGTAGAATCGTATTACGGTAATGGTGAAAGTAAGGGTAAAATATTATTTATTTGTTCTAAGGAAATCAGGTGCACATTTTATTGTTAGCTTGCCAATCCTGACATACAACAAAAGTACATATAACTTAAAATATACTACAAATGTTACGTTATTGAGGAAAAATTATTAAAATAGTTTTCCAATTCTTACATAAATCAGAAGTCATTAAAATTAAAAAAATACCTAAGCAGTAAATACGTGCCAGGACGCACCAAATAATCACTTTCAGTGAAAGGGTCGCTACACAATTTACTGGCTTTTGTTGGTGTAAATTTTTTTCTTTTCATTACTCTAACCCACTGTTCCAAGAGCTTTTCATTTTTCAGGGGAAATCTAAAGACAAAATCACATAATAAAATGACAAACCGATTTAGCAATCGACCGCAAATTACCCAAAAAACTGGATGTTTCCTCCTGGTTTAAACCGATTTGTACACCCAAATGCGGAACACGATGCCGGCATATTTCGCTTTTAATAAACCAACACTTTTTGGAACTATACTTTAATTCACGTAATCATACACATTCACCCCTAATACACATGAAACAGTTCGCAACGTACATACATATACAGGGTATTTTTGAAATAGATGGAAACTTTTTTTAAGGTAATTGGTCATGATATAGAGAATTTATGCATCAAATATAGAAAAGTAGGTAAAATTGTTGCTTGTTAACATTACAATACATTCATTAGCCCATCATTTTTTGACGTTTTTGCAATTTTTTGGAAGAACAAAATGAATTTTTCTAATTCTGAAATGACTGACATGGTTCTGATATATGGACAAGCCTTAAGAAACTCCTTGGAAGCTCGACGTTTATACCAAGAAGCATTTCCCGAACGAAGATTGCCAAATCATAAAACATTTGCTAACGTTGTTCAGCGTCTACGAAAAAATGGGAAATTTCAACCTCGTTTTAGTGATCGTGGTCGTGAAAGGACAGAACGGACACTTGATGCCGAAGAAGAAATTTTGAATGTCGTTGAAAACGATCCAGGTATAAGCATTAGACGATTGTCTTACCGAGTGGGAGTTTCATCTTTTGTGGTGTGGAGAACTCTACATGAACAAGGCAACAATCATTGATTAGACGTGCGGAAGCGTGTATACGAAATGGTGGTGGACATTTTGAAAACTTGCTCTAGTTGCATACGTTACGTTTTGTTTCATTTTATGGTTGATTAAATTATGATTTTGAAGTTTTAATTGTCAGTTCATTAATTATTGTCATTGTTTATTTGTTGCTAGCAATAAATTAATAGCAACAGTAGTTACACCTCGGCAGTTTTCAGTTACTAGGTTTCACATTTTTTCGTGAAACCATTACTTATCAGTGGAGGAATGAATGTTTGGATAGGGGTTAAATTTTCCTTTCAAAATTTTACTAAAACAACAAACGTTCATTTGACTTCTTAGGTTCCCTACATTCACCAGATTTTTTGTTTCCATGTATTTCAATAACACCCTGTATTTAGCACTATTTTCCTAATATATTACCAAGCGATCATACATTGACAGCAATGTTTTGCCTTTCTGACAAATGGCGGCCACTCGACCTTGAAGCTTCACTTCTCTCTGCAGCGCAGGGTTAGGTAGTCGGGTATCTAGGTAACTTAATTTAACATCTATGAATTAAGCTGACTGTCATCTGTCGAAAACAGTCCACAATAAAAATATCAGATGGACTCATATTCCAGTGTTTTCACAAGGATTTTATTTGGTGCATCGTTTATTCAAATCGGGTAAAAATAAGCAACATACAGCGTCAAAGGATTTTTGTCAGTCATCCTGTATGTAGTACTTCAGTCATCCTGTATGTAGTACTATCATGACTACTCTGTTCTACAAATTTCAGTTAAATTAAATGGGTAACTGAAATAATAAAAAATATGAGTAAGTTAGCAAAACTTTAAGGTCCGTTATGTATTTTTTTTTTTTAATTAGAGAGTGAATTAAGATAAATCGTCATGTATTTATTACAAGGACACTATAGTTGATTCTGTTCAGTCTATGGTTATTGTTTTCGGATTTTACGTTGTATTGGACAGATAATTCTTGGAGTCCCTCTGTGTCTAAAAATACTATTAATATTATGGATATAGATCTTGAAATTTCTCAGAATCCTCTTCTAAAGTTCTAAACCAGCTGAAATCGTCTAAAGTCGTCTCATGTTTTAATGCCAAATGGTACTTCATCTTTTTTTTTAAGAATGTGCTCAAAGTATATCATTTCCATTATGTTTTGTACAATAAATCATCCCAAGTGGTAATTGTTGCAGCTTTGGTGACATTATGTTTTGTACAACAAATCATCTCAAGTGGCAGTTGTTCCAGCTTTGGTGGAAAAATATGATATGTTAAGCCTATTTTTAAGAAAGGATCGAAAACTGATCTATCTAATTATCATCAGGTTGTTGTTGAAAGAAAACTCTATATATTAAAAAAAGAACAAAAATTACGCCCCACCCACCCGCCCCAATCTCAATTGTGATGTCTTTCATATGGTAATTTCTTGTAGAGAGATGAGGATTTTGCAAGAAAACTCCGCCCTTCACTCACGATGAATAAAACATTCATCACAATCAAGAAGGGGTGGCTGGGCGGGGCTTATATTTAGTCCGTTTTTTCTTAATATATGACGCCTTTTTTTCCCAGCAAGAAACTGAGAATATGTTTAACTATCTTGTTGTTGAAAGAAAACTCTATATATTGAAAAAAAAACAAACATTACGCCCCGCCCACCCGCCCCAATCTCAATTGTGATGAATTTCATATGGTAATTTCCTGTAGAGAAATGAAACAAAACTCCGCCCTTTGAATAAA